AAAGAGTGATTTCCTGAAGTAACTCTACAATGCATCATAAACTAGGATGGAGTTTGTTAAGTCTGTTAACTGCAATGTCTACATTTTTACTGGTAGGAGTATAAAAAAGGGGAAACGTATAATGCTTATCAGAAAAGTGTTTTCTTTCTTAAAAAGTAAAAGTCATGCTTTCATTGTTGCATGATGTTATTCTTATGTTTATAAAACTAGTTAGCTGATTTATCGATGTAACATGTAAACTATTTCAGTCATTTTCACGAAATGGACATCTTTAGACAGTCATCTCTGCAGTCAATTATTTTCCATTTAAAGAGTATAGAAATTATTTGATGAAATATAACAAAAATTAATTATTTTGCTCATTTCCACTTTCTGAAGCATGTAACACCACGAAGATTCTGCTTCAGTTCTGTAATTGTTAAGTTAAATGAGCTAATGGATGATAAAGCCATTTTGAGTCACTAAAGAAAAACTAATAAAAATCATGTCAATCTTTCTCCTTAGACAAGAAGCAAGACTACATAGAAAACATGACAATGGTCAAATGAGACTCTCTAGAAAAAAATTTAGACAACTGTATCTATATAAGTATTAAAAATCAATAAATCAAAACCAGCATTTTATTTTCCCAATGTTAATATTTAAATTTTACTGGCATCATACTAAACATTATATTCAGAAAAAAATTTCTTAAGCAGTGAATTCAGTTACTGTTAAAGGTTCAAAGAGAATGGCTGTTATTTGAAAATTGGGGTAATGCTTAAAATGTAAAGAAGAAAAAAGTGGAGAAAGGCAAATGTTATTCTAAACAACAATTTCCTTCTATTTAAGCTAGAAGAGAGTAGCATATATCTTCTTGATTCCTGGAGTTTAGGTCATGTAATATATTTTAAAAATTGTTGAATGTTAAAGCTGAAAGAGACCTTAGGGAAAATTTATTTTAAAAAGTCTCATTTTCTGAATGAGACTTTCCCAAGGTCATATATCTGTTAATAGCAGATTCTAGTTAGAAGCATCAGAATACCTTAGTTTACAGTTAGCTCAAAATGAATTAGAGAGAAAAATTATCTAAAGGATATGAGTTATAAACTAGTGATTCTTGATCATTCCAGAAAAAAAAAAAAATGCTTTCTACAATACTTAGATTCAAATTGCAAGAAAACTGACAAAATTCTCCTTTATGTTTTCCCATTTTTATTACCACTGCCATAACTTCTCAATGGATTTCTCTTTGAAATTAATGATTAGCGTTGTTGGTAAATAACTGGAAAATATTGCTTTTTGCAGCTGGATGAAGAAGCCTCGATGTGGTGTACCTGACCAGACAAGAGGTAGCTCCAAATTTAATATTCGTCGAAAGCGGTATGCATTAACAGGACAGAAGTGGCAACACAAGCACATCACTTACAGGTAAAATAGCTAATGATGAATTACTGTTTCTTTTCAATTTTTCACAACTATGTATTTCGACATTTTGTTTGAGATCTTATGCACACTGACTACATGGTAACATATAGTGATGTAATGTTAACATAAAAAAACAAATTGCAATTGAGAAGAGAATAAATTGTCCATTTGGGGACCCTGTAGACAGACATTCCTTGAAACACTTTTGTAAACTAGATCTTCCAGCTTCTTGAATGAATGCTAATATTCTGAAAGACTTTCAGATGAGTATTCTAACACACAACATTCTTTATCAAGTATTCATAATCTAAAAAATTATAAAATAATAAAGTATATAAATAATTGCAATTTAAACAATATATCTTTGAATTATTAATTAACTTTTGGTATCAGAGCAACCATTTAACTTTTTATCTTTTTACAACGATGCAAATGGATCATCCTTTCTTGTCTTCAATGTAACATGCTTAAGGGATGAAAGTATCTTCCAATCTGGAGTGGCAATTGCTGCTAGTTCATATTCATTCATTAACTAATTGAACAACGTTTTATTGAGTACCAGCTTGGACAAAGAACAGTGCTAGGTACTGGGGATATAACAATAAATAAAACATAGGGATTCCATCCATCCTCATGGAATTTATAGTCACGTGGAAAAGTTTAACAATCATATAAATGTGATGATGCCTGTTTTGAAAGAGAAGGAACAAGATGCAAGAGAAATGTAAACCATGGTCATTCAACCCAACTTAGAAAACCAGGGCTGGCCTCCCTTCTGTCTTGAGAGTAATATGGAGTATTAAAGGAAATTCTTTATATGATCACCTTAACAGATACGAAAATGCATTCAAGAAAATTTAACCTCCATTTATGATAACTAGGAATCAAAGCAAAGAAACATACTTAATCAGAAAAATGGCATCTACGAAAACAAAAATTACAGCTTCATTATGTATTTCACATATAATATGACCACTGTAACATGAGGTGTTCAGAAAAAAAAATCGTTAAGTGAAACAACAAAAAACTACCTGCTGTCTTTACCTCCACCCAATAACATTGTGCAACTACTTATAGTTGTAAGGTAATAAAAGAGAATAAAAGATATAAGGAACTGTAAAGAAATAAAACTATCTTTAGTCATAGTTGTATCACTTTCTAACAGAACACCCAGAATAAACTCTAGATAATGTTTTTAGAAATAATAAAAGAATATATCCAGCTTTAAACATAATTAGATTTTATTTTTAGAGCAATTTTGGGTTTACAGAAAAGTTGAGCAGATAGTATGGGTAGTTCTCACTGCCCCCCCTCCTCCCAGTATACACACTCACATAGTTTCTCCCATTATTAAGATCTTAATTAGTATTAGATATTTGTTACAGTTGTTGAGCCAGTATTGCTCTATTACTGACTAAAATCGATAGTTTACACCACAGTTCACTCTTTGTGTTATAGTTTTATGGATTTTGACAAATGCATAATATCATATAGTATTACAGTATCATACAGAATTAGTTTCACTGTTCTGAAAATCCTTTGTTACACCTACTCATCCCTCTTCTCCTTAGGACACTACTGATGGTTTTAATGTCTCTATAGTTTTGCCTTTTCTAGAATGTCATATGGTTCGAAACAGAGTTTGTAGCCATTTCAGACTGCTTTCCTTCACTTAATAATATGCATTTATTTCCTCCTTGTCTTTTCATGACTTGATAGCTCATTTCTTTTTATTACTGAGCAATATTCCATTGTATGGATGTGTCAAAGTTTGCTTACCTGTTCACCTATTGAAGACTTCTTGGTTGCTTCCAGTTTTTGGCAATTATGAGTAAAGCTAGTATAAACATATGCGGGCTGGTTTTTGTGTGGACATTAATTTTCAACTTATTTGGCTAAATACCTGGGAGTATAATTTTGCTGATCATAAGGTAAGACTATGGTTAGCTTTTTAAGAAACTACCAAACTATCTTCAAAGTGGCTAAACCATTTTGCATTACCACCAATAATGAATGAAAGTTACTGTTCCTCTACAACTTTGTCAGGATTTGGTGTTGTCAGTGTTCTGGATGTAACCATTCTAATAGGTGGTTTCTCAATTTTTTAACTTGCAATTCCCTAATGCTATGTGAAGCTGAGCATATTTTTGTATGCTTATTTGCCATCTGTACATCTTCTTTTGTGAGATGACTGTTTAGATCTTTGCACCAACTTTTAATTGAGTTGTTATTTTAAAGGTTCTTTGTATATTTTGGATTACAAGTCTTTTATCAGATATGTTTTCAAATATGTTGTCTCAGTCTGTGGCTTGACATTCCATTCTCTTTTTAGTGTATTTTGCAGAGCAGAAGTATGAATTTTAATAAGGTAGAACTTATCAATTATTTTCATTTCTATATTGTACTTTTGTTGTTATATCAAAAAAACATTGCCAAACAGAAGGTCACTTAGAATTTCTCCTATGTTATCTTCTAAAATTTTAATAGTTTGGCATTTACATTTAGGTCAATGATCCATTTTGAGTTTGTTTTTGGGAAAAGTGTAAAATCTATATTCAGTTTTTTACATGTGGATGTTCAGTTGTTCCAGCACCACTGGTTGGAAAGACCATTCTTTCTCCACTACCTTTGATCTTTTGTCAAAGATCAGTTGCCTATGTGCGTGGGTAAATTTTGGTGCTCTTTATTCTGCTTCATTGATCTGTGTGTCTATTCATAAACCAAAATCACACTTTCTTGATTACTGTGGTTTAGAGTAAGTCTTGATATCAGATACTATCAGTTTTCTGATTTTCTTCTTCTTCTTCTTCAGTATTGTGTTGTTTTTTCAGAGTCTCTTGCCTTCCCACATAACATTTAGAATCAGTTTGCCATTACAGGCATTCCTCAGAGATATTCTGTGTTCAGTTCTAGATCAACAAAATAAAGAGAATATAGCAATCAAGCTCATATAGCAATCAAGTGATGTCTTGAAATTTTTGGTTTCCCAGTGCATATAAAATTTGTTTACACTATACTATAGTTTATTAAGTGTGCAGTAGCATCATGCCCAAAAGCACAATGAGCATGCCTTAGTTAAAAGTACTTTATTGATAAAAAATGCTAACACTCAGCTGTTGATGGCTACTGACTGCTCAGGGTGGTGGTTGGTAAAAGTCAAGGTGGCTGAGGCAAGTTCTTAAAAGAAGACAACAATGAAGTTTGCCACATTGATCTACTCTTCCTTGTATGAATAATTTCTCTCTAACATGCAGTGCTGTTTGTAGCATTTACCCACAGTAGCACTTTCAAAACTGGAGTCAAATCTCTCAAACCCTACCACTGTTTAAACAACCAAGTTTATGTCATATTCTGAATGCTGTTTTCTTTGTTATGTCAACAATCTTCATAGCATCTTCACCAAGAGTAGATTCCATTTCAAGAAACCACTTTCTTTGCTCATCAGTAAGAATCAACTTATCATTTAAAGTTTTATCATGGGATTGCAGCAATTTAATCACATCTTTAGGCTCATGTTTCATTTTAATTCTCTTGTTATTTCCACCACATCTGCAGTTACTTCCTCCACTGAAGTCTTGAACCACTCAAAGTCATCCATGAGGACTGGAATCAATTTCTTCCAAACTCCTGTGAATATTGATATTTTATCTCTTTCCATGAATCACAAATGTTCTTAATGGCATAAAGAATGGTGAATCCTTTCCAAAAGATTTTCAGTTTACTTTACCCAAATCCTTCAGAGGAATCACTATCTATGGCAGCTGTAGCCTTACAAAATGTATTTCTTAAATAATAAGACTTGAAAGTTGAAATCACTCCTTGTTCCAAGGGCTGCAGAATGGATGTTGTGTTAGTAGGCATGAAAACAACAAGAATCTTGTATATCTCCATCACAGGTCTTGGGTTACCAGGTGCATTGTTAATAAGCAGTAATATTTTGAAAGAAATCGTTTTTCTGAGCACTAGGTCTCAACAGTGGGCTTACAGTATTCAGTAAACCATGTTGTAAACAGATGTACTGTCATCCAGGCTTTGCTGTTTTACCTATAGAGCACAGGCAGAGTAGTTTTAGCATAATTTTAAGGGGCCGAGGATTTTTGAAATAGCAAATGAACATTGGTTTCAACTTAAAGTCACCAGCTGCATTATCCACTAACAAGAGAATCAGCTTATCCTTTCAAGCTTTGAAGTCAGGCATTAAGTTCTCTTCTCTAGCTATGAATGTCCTAGATAGCATCTTCTTCTAATATAATAAAGCTGTTTCATCTACATTGAAAATTTAATGTTTAACGTAGCAATCTTTATTAATTATCTTGGCTAGATCTGGATAACTTGCTGGAGCTTCTGTATCAGCACTTGATGCTTCACTTTGTGCTTTTATGTTATGGATATAGCTTCTTTCCTTAAACCTCATATACCAACCACTGTTAGCTTCAAAATTTTCTTCTGCAGCTTCCTCACCTGTCTCAGCCTTCACAGAATTAAAGAGAGTTAGGGCCTTTCTCTGAATTAGACTTTGGTTTAAAGGAATATTGTGGCTGGTTTGATCTATGTAGACCATTAAAACTTTCTCCATATAAGCAATAAAGCTGTTTTGCTTTCTTATTATTTGTGTGTTCACTGGAATAGCACTTTTAATTTCCCTCAAGAATTTTTCATTTGCTTTCATAGCTTAGCTAACCATTTGGGGCAGAGGTCTAGCTTTTGTCCTATCTCAGCTTTTGACATGCTTTCTAAACCTAATCATTTATTACTTAAAGTGAGAGATGTGTGATTTTCCCCTCACTTGAATACTTAGAGACAGTTGTTAGGTAATTAATTGGTCTAATTTCAATATTGTTGGGCCTCAGGAAATAGGGAGGCCCAGTGAGAGAGAGAGCAATAGTGGAATGTCAGGTCAGTGGAGCAGTCAGAACACAGACAACATTTCTTAAGTTCACTGTTTTATGTGGGAGTGGTTCATGTTACCCCAAAATAATTACAGTAATAACATCAAAGATCAC